ATATTCTCAGCGAACGAATTGAAGACTCGATTTGAATAATAATCAAAGATGACGGTTACTTGAAATTTTACGCGGTTGAAGTATTCTGTAACAAGCTCCATGAATTATGACATCGTCATATTGGCAATGCGATTATGCCACTTAGATGCGAAGGAATCACGTCTGTATATGATGATGCTTGCCCCACTTATAATGAAAGAAGTTTCAGTAAATCAAGAATATCATGATAATACTTTTTTTGATGACGTTTTTATTATTACTTGTATTTCTGTTTATATTTTTACTGAAAATGGTAAAAGTTCAATGCCAAATAATACTGCTATTAAAAATGGTGTTTTTACTTTCACTTACTATAATACTGCAGCATTAGTATTAGTGATGTTACAGAAATTACGGCAAAACTACTGATAATTGCTACTATTGCTTTACTGCTATACTTACTACCAATTTCACCACAATACATATTGAAGTAACATCTCTAATCTTATTAGATATGGTGCTACAAGTATCTTGACTACTATACTACATACATTTGTGGGGCGATTGAACTAGCTGTACTAGTAAAAATAACAGTGAGAAAGTAGTACAAGTACTACTTGGCTTTACTACTATTTACCAGTAGTACTTAATTAATTAATGTTCGAACGTCTAACCGTTCAGTGCAACGCATTGAATCATTGCAGATGTTTTAAGTGCATCAATTAAGCTTTGGTGGATTTTACCTTTATGCTAAGTGAGCGATGGAAAAGGTTTCGAAACTCTTTACAACCTTGCGTACTTAAATAAGTACTTTTTCACTCACTTGTTTATTTATTGACACTTACTTTGCTTTCTTACATGCAAAAGTGCACATCTACACAAATCTTTACCCATTTACGTCTGAAGCTAGTTGGGTGTATGCGTAATAAAGTTACTTATTTGCTGTCATGTATATTAACATGTTTAATTATTGATTAATTCATTTACATAATTATCCAGTCGTTTTACTAACACGGTTGTTCACTGATTTGTTCACTTTTCTGCGGATTTACTCTCCATTATCTATTTGCTTACTTGCAGGGTAACTACCGACTTAAATCAGTTACTCACTTCCTTACTCACTTTTCTATACTTACTCTTTTAATTATTTGTTTACTTTATTTCATACTTATTTCATTAATAATTTACCAGCTTACTTAACTACGCACGGAAGTACATACTTATTTAAGTGCGTGCTTACTGATTATTCTTCACAATATTTTAATTAATTGACCGATTCCTTTCTCAGTTGCGTATTTAAATGCTGTGAGCCACGAAAAGTGACATGTGTTCGTTATTCTCACTGGTAATACGTAAAACTAAGTTTATTAGTAAACCGAGATCTGGCTTAAACATGAGCTGTTCGTACGACAGAATATGGCGAAACATCGAACGACTCCTCCAAGACAAAACTTCACGGCTTTTAACACTGGCTGCTTGCTCCTAGTTGCCTGGGGGTCATTTAAGTCTCACCGGTATTTGA